TTTGAAATATGACTGGAAATCATAACCATCTGTCTCAGTAGACAGGAGTATTGTAATAAGGGTTGGATTGACAAACTCTAGTCCTGAACACAGAAGTGGTTGGAAACTCAACGAGACTGCCACGTGTTAAAGCATCCAGCAGTAGTTTTTGTTAAGGTTCTTCCCAAGCAGCTTTGTGACGTGGGACTCTGTGCTCTGTGGTCTGTTCCCCAGGGTGCACACCAAGACAAACATCAACTGCACATGGAGGACCATCAACTCTGTGAAAGATGTTCTTTGGTCTGCCCAAACCTTGTTGGTCTTCCAGAACAAAGAGTTGACCCTGATTAAGTGTTGCAGACTGGCACATTCCAAGATCCAGGACTACGTACTGAGAGACACACTAAAGCTTGGGCAGCTGCCACCAAGCTGAAGTGGGGAAAGACCACTGTCTGAGGTCTTTCTGCTGAAGGTAAATGGGGGTCTGTTCAGTTATTGGACCCTCCTGGTGCCTCAGATATATGTAAATATTGGTATTGAGTAAGAGGGATCTTTGGTTTTTTTGGGATAGAGTCAAAGTTCAACGTTTTTGTTTGTTTGCTTGATATGCAACTGTGCAGAACCGAAATACTTTTGTGTCAATGTACATATACAAAGATTTTTTAATGAATAAAGTACATTTTTGGAATAAAAAAGCTTTTGCAATCATGTTATTAATAAGGTGGGTCCAGTTACACATCTGGTCAATAATGATGCCCAAAATTTTGATGGTGGTACCGCTGATGGTCAGGGGCAGGTGAGTAAGCTTTTCTTGTGGGAGATTGTAATTATTCGGCACTTACACAGCAAAGCTTTAGCTGTTTGCTAACCCAAGCCTTCAGTAGAAACTTTGCACAAGTAGCTTATAGCTAAGTAGGAGGAAAGAAAGAAAAACGAAGTTTGAGGCAAAACATGCTCCACCTAAACTTCCGATACAGTATGCAATTACTCACTGTGTGAAGAATTTAGAGGCACACCTAGACCATTTCACAAAAAATGTTGCATCATGATAATTAACACTGAGTGCTTGCATAACTTCTTCCCAATTTGAATGAATACAGGCTTCACTTAAGTGCAAGACCTTTCCAAGACAATCCCCTAATGGTCTCAATGTGGACTTCACAAGCTTCAAAATCTCTCCACCCCCGACCTCATCCCAAAACCAGCCCAGCTCGTCCCCGCGTCCTTGACCTGTCCGTCTTTTCTCCCACTTACCCACTCCTCCCAACTCACTGACCAACCCCCACCCCGACTTCCTACCTACTAGCCTCATCCCCGCCTCCTTGTCCTGTCTGTCTTCCCTCCCACCCACCCACCCCTCCCTCCCAACCGACCAACCCCCATCCCAACTCCCTACCTACACTCACCTTTACTGGCTCCATCCCCGCGTCCTTGACCTGTCCGTCTTCTCTCCACCTATCTGCTCCTTTATCCACCTTCCATCATCGCCTCCCCCTCTCTATTTATTTCAGAGTCCCCTTCCCCTCCCCCATTTCTGAAGAAGGGTCCAGACCCGAAACGTCAGCTTTCCTGCTCCTCTGATGCTGCCTGGCCTGCTGTGTTCATCCAGCCCTACACCTTGTTACCCCTAATGATTTTCATCTGACTTCCTACGTTCTGTATGACAACTGTTCTTTAGCTGAAAGATTTACTCTGCTTAGAGATGCAATTGAAAATCAATAACTAAAAATATTACAGATGCACTGCCAAACTATTGTTCAGCATAATTCTGTTATTGTAACACTCAAACTCTTAATTTCCTTCAGTTCCCTGCTTTTCTCACTGTAACTGATTTTGTAGAATTTATTTTGGTTTTAATTTTCCTCCTCCAGCCACGGTTCACGTTTTACATCAAATAAGCAAGAAAATACACTTCGTTTGGAATATCCAGAATTCTCTAATTGGTAGTATTTGTTAATAAATCACTGGAAAGGTTTGAAGAGAATTACCAACATTCTAGAAATTGCAGAAGCAGATTTCAGGTCTGCAGAATCAGGTACATTTTTCATGAATACATTTTTCTTTTAATCTTGTTACAGTCCTCCCATTTTCTTCACTTTTCTCCCCCTTTTTCGTATCTTCTCCTGATGTAGGGTGGGCTAGAGGCCTGGGCAGAACTGAGACAGCCAGCGGGCTGGAGGCCTGAGTAATGCAGGGCTGGCTCGTGGACCGGACTCTAGAGCAGAGACAAACAGATATTGGACAGGGAACTGGTGTGGGTGGTCAGTGGTTTGCAAGCCCAGTCAGACCACATATGGAAGGCCCATGCGCTGAACTACTACAGGCCCTTTACAGAAAGACTGTAATACTTATCATTTTAACTTTATTTCTTAATTTTTCTAACTTATACTATGAATAACTGTAAGTAACTTTATTTTCCTTTTTCTATTTTGTATGTAAGTTCTGTACCTAGGGTACTTTGTACTTAAGTGGCACCACGTGGGTTGACATTGTAAACTTTTCACTGTACTCCCGTACTTCAGTACATGTGACAATAAAGGATATTCTATGTTATTCTATTTGCACTGCCATCACAAAACTTACTTTATTCCGCAACGATAATCAATTTGCACCAAATGGAAACACAATGCAAAAGCTGGCAAAGCCTGCTAAGAGGGTGCACTTTTCTCTAGGGGCACGTACATGGGCAGGTGGTGAGATCAACTGTCAGAGATGCACGAGACAAGGTTAAATTGACATGAAAGTTAAAAGCAATGGTCAATCGCAGAGAAAGTGAAGTTTGTGCAGCAACTGTAAGTACAAAGTGAAAAGCAGATATCACTAAGGAATGGAAGATTCCACCAATGACTTTGAAAACTATTCTGAAGCACAAGTCAAACAACTTGGAATAGTTTGACTAGCAGGCATTCACTCCAGCAAGGAATAGGATGAGAACAACTGCCTATTCTGACATTGAAGAAGCTCTGTTAATGTAGTCAGAGTCAGCTTGAGCAGAAAACATTCCCATCTCCTACAGGAAGAGAGATTCCCCCGGCATAAAGCCTGGGCTACAAGGTGTCCACTTCCAGCAATTGATGGCTAGAATGATTCAATACTAGGCATGGCATCATCTTCCACATGGTGAGCAAGCCAGCTACATTAGCAATGACAGAAGACTGGCTGCAAAATGGTCTCACCCAAGTCCAGCACAAGAATGACCAGGAGAAATTTTTAACATGGATGAAACAGTCCTGTTTTATTCGTCTTTTTCCAGATCGCTCTTCGATATTTAAAGATAAAGTATGAAATTATGAAAAGCGAAGCAAGGAATAAGTCAATGCTTTGGCCTACACCAACATGGATAGCACTAAAAAGCTGCTTCTTCTCGCCCCAGGAAAATTAATGAACCCATGTTGATTTACAAATGTCAAGACACTATCCACGTTAGAGGTTAATATCAATCCAGTTAGGCAAAATAATCAAAGGTTATTGGGGGTAGATGGGAATATGGAATTCAGAACACAAACAGAAACCACCTACGATTGCATTGGATGACAAAGCAGGCTTGAACGCCAAACTGCCAGCTTCTGTTCTTAATACATATGTTCATATACAGGTCCATGGAATGACCTGAAGCATTTTTGAGGTATGTATCAGCAAATTGGACAAAATGTATCAATGGAAGAATTAGAAGAAAATCCTGTGTACAGACAACAACCCCCATGCACCCCAACATTATTTGCCTCAATAGCATCAAAATGATGTTTCTGCCTTCCTAAACAATAGCCAAGGTCCAGTCAATGATGATTAGGAAATCGAAAACCCACTATTGATGGCTGCTGATCTCCTAGGTCCAGCACTGAAGTAAAATTCAAACATTTTAGAAGTTATGTTCATGATTTTAAAAAAGGCATGGAAGCTGATGAAGCCACAACTGCCAACTGCTTTTGCCTATGCTGAGTTCAAACCTGTGATGAATGTGCAATATACTGAACGTCAAGAGGAATGGGATGATGTCAATTCACCTCATTAATTCTGCCCATAACAAAGTTCTTCCCTGATACCCCTCACAGCCTCACTTTTCAGCTTTTAATTCCTACTTACTAGTTCTCTGGCTTGATATTTACAAAACTCCTTAGCCAATGTTTATGTACTCGTCATCCATTGCCCATTTTCATACAGTTATTCCCAACAATTCAGTCACAGTTTTCTATTCTGTTCCATAGCTTATATGTTTAATCTCTTAAATTCAAGGACTGCAGACTCAAGTGTATCTGCCATAGAACTGCTCTCAATTTATTGGCAGATCTAGCTCAACCCCATTAAGCTCTAGTATGTTTTTGTCTCCTCAACCAAATGCTGCCATTACTTGAGGATTATTTTGGTACGTGAGGGTGACCATGTGCAAGGAGCTCCTGGATTTAGTTTCTTCTAAAGTGTTAAGATACTCTGCAGTTTCTTTGCCATCAGTGTCACTGTCCTCTCCAACCTGATCTCTTCCTAAAGATTTACCCGAGATTTCCTCCCCCATCTGATTATTAAATCAATTACCTTCTCTGGCTCAAATACTTATAATATTGATAATTGCCCTTGTTGTCAAGTTTGGCACACCAGACAATTGACATCAGTTCCAACAAGCAAAAAATGTCTATTGTAGATAAAACACTCTACCAATCCATTATTAAATACATATGTTTCCACCAGTTGATGCTTTATTACCTTATGGAAACTATTTTATCAAATTAAAACCTTTGCTTGCAAGAATCTTGGAAAAGAAAAGGTTGTGGCAACATTTTGCTGAAGTAGATGGATTTTTTAAAAATAGTATGGGATTCAAAGCTTATGAGTAAAAGACAGCAAAGTAGAATTGAGGATTATCAAATCAACCATGATCTCACTGAATGGTAGAGAAGACTCAATGAGCTGAATGAAAATATCTCTGGTCCTATGTTTTATGGTCTTATTTCTATTTCTAGCATATCAGGCCATTTCTAATGACTTTTGTATCGTCTAACAAAATTTAGTGGCTTTATTTGCCTTACCATTTGTCTGCAGATGGGACAATTAACTGCTCCCAACCACGTGCCATAAGTCCAGTATGCAACAATACAGGAACCTAAGAAGAAAAGAAAAGGTATTTTCGAAGACAGTTTACACTTTTTTAAACCAGTCTGGGCTATTGAACTTAGCACAAAAATAAAATCCATGTTAGTTTTGAGAATGTTTTTCTCTCTCAGCCACTAGATCTGTAGTTCAGTGTTGTTAACTTAAATTCAGGCCTTAAAGCAGATTCAACGATCAATGAATTAAAAAGTGCATTGATACGCTCTTCACATTTTCAGAACATTTTGAAACATTTTATAGCCAATGGATCTCTGTTGAATTGTACTGCAGTCTTTTTTGTTATGCATTCAAATAGTTATTTCCATCATGAATGCTCATTCATCCTTTACAATACAAAATATGAAATCAGACTGCACCTACTGTACAACGTTTGTGTTCTTCACATTTCAAAATTAACATTTGGTTTTACTTTAAACAGAATATTATTGGCATGAAAATCAAAAGGTAAGTTTACTTATAACTGGTATTTATAACTGAAACATAACTGCTCTTCAAACTGATATCAAAATCATTGTTAATGTAGTTAAACTATTACATAAAAGCCATTAACTTGTTCCTCAGAAAAATGTAACAATTACTTTGTCGGTGTTTCTTTTGTGATTCAGAAGCAAGAGATCAGAGAGAATTACAACTACTGGTTCCAGTTGACGTGAGATTGATGGTGATTTTAAATGATGGGTAGAATCACATACAAAGATGGCACAATTTAAAAAAATAGAAATATTTTCTGAGTATATTGATTTCTCCATTGCATTTCCCCTATTTGATAAGGTGACTTACTTCCATGTGCTTTGATACAACTGGACACAAAATCTCAGCTTGTTTTAAAAAGAGGATCCATCTAGATACAAGTTGTCAGTCTGAAAGTTTTTATTATGTCGTCAGTGATGACTGATGTCAAATTGGACACTGTTCCTGTAGGCTCTAAATCAAATGAGATAGTTCTCAAGAACCCCACTAAGTGAAAAGCAAATCTCAAAGCTGATTAATTTTATTTCCATTGCTAAAATAAACACAAACAGGTTTTACCCAAACTGGTAGGAAAGGATTAGATAGATATTTTTAAACACAAGTAAATTTGCTTCTCCCCCATTGTAAGTCCTGTCATAAACGAACTGAGGCCAACTCTGCAGTTGAATCTTATCTTTCAAATTAAGGGAACAGATGTTCAAGGACACAACAAATGGAGACAGTCCTATTCAACTGATACATACTTGCATCTGCATCATCCTAAATAAAAACTAATTTCCACTAAGCAGTATGTGTCATGTTTCTGACTGGAGGACCTCAGAAAGTATTCAGGACCAATCATGCTTGAAACAGGTTCATTTGAAAAAGAAAATTCCAGGAACTTTTGTTTAATGTCATATTCATTCTAACTAGATTAGTTGCTGAAACACTTCTGTTGATCTTCATATTTTACATTCATCAGGATTAAACAGATCTTCAAATGCCCGACAACCGAAACCTTTGAAATTGGCTTTGTTTCATTCGTCAGTACCCAGGGTTAACTTAACTTTGTGTCTTTCCAAAAGCTCTCATATCTTCTTCAGTGATTACAGTACAGACAGTGCGTTCCAGAGTAAACTGATGAATACAATATAGTGAGCAATTCCAAATTAATCAACCCAAAGCAACTTAAGAACAGTTCATAAGACTTTTTGAAAGTACTACAAAATTTCCTAATGTATCATATTCTATCAGTACTATTCCTAGGCTTATGGATTTTGTGCAAGTCTTAATAATTATATTCCCAGACCATATACTTCTGATCATTGATAAATACCTCAGACAACAACAAACCATTTTTATTTTCTATATTAAGAACACGATTTAAATGTTTCAAGGCACTTTAAACAGAGGAAAAGGGAAAAAATGCACAATGGAATATACATCCATAGTGGAGAGGGAGGAAAGGCAACTGAAAGCCTAACTGAAAAGTGGGGTGTTTATAACTATATTGCAATACAAAGCACAGTAACTTGGGGGAGGAATGGAGGAGTCTGAAGATCAAAGAATGCAGGATACAAGAGGAGATACAAGACTGGAAAAGGATGCAGAGAAATAGTGGGGTGAGGTCATAAAGATGAAAACCAATAGATTTGAAAAACAGTGAATTGGGGAAGTAGGGGACCAGTGTAAATTAGCCCATTTTCAGTGTAGTGAGGGTGGGCAAAATTGTGTGCGCATGTAAGAAGGACAGGATGGGGCAAACTCCCATCGTTTGTTGCTTTGTAAGTGCATCCTGTGAGGGGGGATTTGTTATTAATGCCAACTTTGGCCCCATTTAGACCCTTCTCTGATTGCCTTATTGTGAAACTGAGAGTTGTTTTGTGGCTGCAGATGTAAAATACAGTAACTTAGTTTTAACCAGCACCTTATCAACTGGTACTCTTGGCAAATATTATACACCTCAAATACTGTGATCCACTACAATGTTAGAGTACTTGGGCTGTAAATAAACTATTACAGAGATATGTATACCCCCGCATTACGTTTTTATTACTTACTGTAAGTTTTTATATTGATTTTAGAAGGCGTGTTCATGTTTTTACATAGATTATTTTGAGGGATGTTGATATCTTGAAGCTTTGCTTGGTCCGGGTTTACTGCGGTCATGTGTACCTCTTGACTTTTCCAGAATATTTGATCAATTGTCCCACTCCTGGTCCCATAAGTACTGGTTAATAAAAAATTTGCTGTAATAATTTCCAGATTCCTATTTAAGTGAATGTACTGATATTTATTCTAGAAACCCTCTCATCCCTGCAGAATTTGTGTTGTTAATTTTGTTCCCCATATCACTTTAATATTTTTTTCCCAGAGACATTATGAATGATGTTTGGATTATGGAATTGGATTATGCTTCCCAGTCTAAATGAAACATTTACCATATGTGGCTTTAAAAGTACTGAACTTTTCCTGTGCTTTAATGAGTTAAACAAACTAGTTCAATCAATCAATCTCTTTAACATCCATTATCCCCTTGAGTTAGCCATATAAAATTACATCCTAGGCTCCTGGTTTTCTATATTTGTAAATCCCATGCAATATTGGACTCGATCATTTTCTGTTTGATGTTCCCCTAACGAGGTCAGAACTTCAATTTCTGCATGATATGTGGGTCAATGATTTTTCAAGATCTGCACTACTTTTAACATATTTGATCATGAAGGAGCCTAAGTTCCTGTTGATAACCCAGTTTTCTACAGCATTCAGGTATTTCCGATTTAGATTTGGTTAAAGTCTCCAATTAAAATCTACTTTAACACTAAGGTGTTAGTGTCCTAGACTAGGTTAAGGCAAAGTGCGCCTCCAGGTCATTATGTTTCGATCTTCGCTTGTCAGCCAAATTAATAAATAAAAGCAAGGCTGATGCATCAAAGGTACAGAGCGACTTATCCTACAAAGTTTAAGATTTTTTCTAAGTGTCTTTTCAGCTTTGCTGAAGTAGACAGCAACTTCTTATGAAGCAAAAACACCTCAGTATCAAGGGAATCTCCACATAATTTTAAATCTTTAAAATGGTAGTAAAAGCCCTCGAGGACAATAGAAGATATAAATTAACTCATGATCAGCATAATAGGCACACCTGCATCAAACTCAAAATGAACATTCCAAGAAGATCAGACTATTTTAAATGAAATCCTGAAGCCAGGCATTAACAAACTCTTGATAATGCATCATATACAAGCCAGTCTTTCATGTGAGATTTAAACTGCAGACTAATTTGCCCTCTCTGCTGAACACAAAACATTCCGCAACTGGATTTCTGGGGTTCCTGTTGCTGTGGCCAGTAATTATCCCTCAATCATTTGCATTAAAATAGATAGTCTGGTCATCGTTTCAATGCTGTTTGTAGAACACTGTGGTGTGCAAATTAGTTTTTGTGTTAATCTTGAATAACAAAGGTATTTCATTGGCTGGAAAACACTTCCAAATGCTGAAACGGTGATGGCATAATACAAGTGCAAGTTCTTCCTTTCTTTACTAAGGCAAAACTCACCACTGTCATTCAACTTATTAAGCAAATTTTATTCAATTTTGATCCCCATACTGTACTGTGAATCTTTCTAATGGTGCGCAATTTGTTTCTTACATTATTCATTCACAGGATGCGGTCATCACTGGCTGGGCCAGTAGTTATTACCCCTATATCGAATGGTCCTTGAGAAGGTGGTGGTGAACTATCTTCTTGAACTGTTGCAGCCCATTTGGTGTTGGTGCACCCACAATGTTGTCAGTTATTTGGACCCAGCCACACTGAAGTTGTGGTGATATGTTTCTAAGTCTGGAGGGTGAGTGGCTTGGAGGGGAACTTGCAGGCTATGTGTTCTCATGTATCTGCTGTTCTTGTCTTTCTAGATGGTAATCGTCGTGGGTTTGGTAGGTGCTGTCTAAGGAGCCTTAGTGAATTTCTGCAGTGTACTTTGTAGATTGTACACATTGCTGTGTCTGAATATTTGTGGTAGAGGGACTGAATGTTTTGTCGATGTGCCAATCAAGAGGTTACTTTGTCCTACATGGTGTCAAGCTTGTTGTGTATTGTTGGAACAATACTCATGCAGGCAAGGGAGGAGCATTTCATCTCACTCCTGACTTGCACTTTGTAGGTGGCTTACAGGCTTTGGGGAATCAGGTGGTGAGTTACTTGCTGAAGATCCCTAGCCTCTGACATGCTCTTGGTAACCACAGTTCTTATATGACTAGTCCAGTCCAGCTTCTGATCAATGGCAACCTCCAGGAGGGCCAAAGGGCGATGGTTAGAGCTCTCTTTTTGGAGATGGTCATTGTCTGGAACTTTATCACAACATTAAAAGAAACACTTCAACACTAAAGGAGCAAATGAGGAGAACTGAGCTGCTCAAAATAGTCTGGCTTGGTCTCTTTTGTATCGGTGGGTCGTAAAGTTTCTAATAAAGCTCAACTCAGATATTTAGCTAATTTCATATTAAAGTCATATCAGAATACTGAAAGTCTAAGATTACTGACTATCCATCTAAGTTCCCTTACTTATACAGTTTAGAATCTAGTTAGATATCAAAAAGAATGCCTAAATGCTTCACTTGTAGCCGTCAGATCTTCGATGAAAATAAAGGAATCAAAGTGTGAATTAGCTGTTAGCTGCAACTAACAACACACATGATGGATCTATCCAGACAGATAAGAGATAATGCACATTACATCCACGAATGGAGAGTCACTGAACTTATATTCCAGGACGCTATCCTAAAAAGAGTCTGGATAACCAACATGTCAATGGATGAGATTACATACATTAAAAAAAACTTTACCAAATTGTTGAGTTCTTCAACAATGAACTAAATTAATCAGACTTTTAACAGGAAAGCAAATTACTGGCGATTTTGAAATTTGAAACAAAAATAGACAATGCTGGAAGCACTCAGCAAGTCAGGCCACATCTCTGCAGACAGAAATATTCTGATAGCCTTACATCAGAATCTGCAACATCACCTCTTTCTCTTTCCACAGGCACCAGCAGAATTAGTGATTATTTTAAGAATTTTCTATTTTTAGTTCAGAATTTTGACTTATCCATCAGACTGGTTATTTAAATTGGTTAATTTGCCAACTGCATGAGTTTAACCCTAAACTGACATTTAAGTCAACATTATGTTAATCTTCTGCTTTGGTTGTCTCAACAAAGATAAATTATGCCAAAATTTTATTAAGAATGTTGTTAGCGATGTGATAACGGGCAGATACTCTTTGTTCAAATTAAAGAATTCTATAACGTAATTTTTTTTCTCATGTTGATGCAGGGATAGATATTGGTCAGGACTGGGGATAACTCACCTACTCTTCTTGAAATAGTACAAGAACCTTTGCATCTGAAAATGCAGATGGACCCTTGGTTTAACATCTTGTCCGAAAGACAACAATTCGTACTGCTCAGTGTTCCCTCAATGCTGGTCTAGAATGTCAGCTTTGGCTTTTATATGCTCAAGCCCCGAAATGGGACTTGAACATGGGACCTTACAGCTCAGACTCAAGAGTTACCACTGAGCCATAGCTGTCAATCTTACTTAACCTAAAAAACACAGATGCTAGACTTAGGAAAGCAGTTAGAATTTAATGTGGAAAATGCAAGACCATGCAAACTGAAATATGAAACATGCAACCTAAATGGTGTTACAAGAGCTCACTGATAAATACGGAAACAAAAGCTATTTAGTTGTCTCTAATGTCCACTCTACTTCTACCTCCTTAATTTGTCTATCAAGCACCTCAGGTTATACAGATGCAAGAGTGATTGTACCTCAAATACAATTTGTTAGCAGTAAAGTTTTGAGATATGGCAATGTTTTAAGGGAAGTTCTTCCCTTATCAGTGACGGTTATTGGCAATCATATTTGGAACAGAGCTTAAATGGAAAATATGTCTTGTGCTACCACTGGGAGAGAATTTAGCCATGATCAATACTGTAACTGGCCATAATTTACAGGACATCTAATTGTTTCTGCCACTTGTTACAGACTGTCTCAAATTTAAGGTTGTAAACTTTTTACATGGCAAGTCACTGAAAGTATTAGCTGAAAACATCATAGTGGGGGAAACCAGGTATATGAGTTCATCATGAACAGGATATGCAAACGTGTCACTTTAGACAACTGTAAATGTTTAGATAACTGTAAATGTTTTAAATAAAATTGATATACTGAGTAATTTTCATTACCTGACATATGTGGAGTTTAGCAGATCTGTGTCAACAAAAAAGAATAGACTACTTTCACAATGACATACCACAGAATAGGTGACCACAGTTGGTTTCAACAGGAAACGCAGCTTGCTGTAAACAGACTGGACAGGACAAATCTGTGTAGAATTGCTGTCTATCTCTTTCAAATCCATCCTGTAACAACAGAAAAAAAGTCAAAGTTAAGTAATCTATGTTTCTAGAATCAGGCTTGATACACTGTGGTAGATTCTGAGCAGCTTATCAGAGTAACATACTGATCAGCCATCCTTTCTGATGGCAAAGAGGTCACAATGATTTTTATGCTGAAATTTCATTCAAAATTCAGGTGAACCACAGGGCAGCAAACAGGTGTCTGACCAAGCTCTCCAGATTAAGGTAGTAAATTGGTCTGGAGTTACTTCCTTCAAGTTAAATTTCTGGTGTGATTTGGGACTGGGACCGTAAGCAGGAAGCGGAGTTATGATTGTGTGATGTTTGTGGGGGAATGGGGGGATGCCGGCAGGGTGGTCAACGATATATGTGAGACCGCCAGCCAACCACCTCCATCAGCTCACTTGATATCATGATCTGCCTGTCCAAAAGCAAGATCAGATTAATAAAAATTACCACCAGCATTAGCATAGAAAGACTGAAAAAGTGGAAGAAATTGTAACACAAAAAAGAAATGTACTTTCTGAAGCAGGGTCCCAACCCGAAACGTCAACTTCCCTGCACCTCTGATGCTGCCTGGCCTGCCATGTTCCTCCAGCTCCACACTGTGTTATGTCTGACTCTAGCATGTGCAGTTCTTACTATCTCCAAAAGAAATGTACTTACGTTTTTAGAGTATCTTCCAGGAACTCAAGATATTTCAAACTGCTGCACAACCATTGGAATACTTTGTACAATGTAGTCACTGTTGTTATACTGGAAAGGCGACAGCCAGTAGGCACACAGTAAGCTTCCACAAATAGATTATGAGATAATGACAAAATAATTTCCTCTTAGAATGTTGATTCTGGAAAAACACATTTGCCAGCACAATTGGGCTAACTTCCTCAAAATATTGCCATAGACTCTTTTGCGTCACAGTGTATGCGTCCATGGTTTAAGATCTCATCTGAAAGCTGGCATCTCCAACAATATTGTATCAGAATGTCTGCCTACATTTTTGTTTATCATGGGTAAGTTCCTTCCTTGTGGTAGCACAAGACATTTTTTTGCTTCTGGAACGTGACTTGAAACTACAGCCTTCCGACTGAGAGGCTACCAACTTAGCCAGAGCTGACGGGATTTATGTACTGTCTTTTAAATTCCTGGGCTATATCAAATTGTGACAAAACTAATTAATTACTCCAAAAAGTTTAGTCACTGTTATGCAGGTAAAATTCAGCAGCCAATCTGCAGGCAGAAAGATACCATAAATTGCAAATTACTGAATTATAAGTTATCCAATTCGTGATGGTTATAGTTGAACACAAAATATTACGCAAACTTTGCACTCTTCAAATATTAGACTCTTTGCTTCCTTATGAACAGACAGATATGACCTCAGCATATCATTTTATCTGAACAACATCTCCAAAAATAAAATGACCTCCAAAAGGGTAGTACATGCCTACGCTTTGTAAGTCATTTCAAGCGCTAGGTTTTGATTTTACTTATTTGGCCTTGAGAGATTTTTGTGCATTTTAGAGACGTCAAACTATATCAAATGATACAGTGAAACTCTTAGTGAATTATGAAACTCTCACCTGATAACTTAAAGCCTCAGCTTGGAGGTGCTGACGGAGCTCCCTCACACGTTCTTGATTGTCAGGATGGATGTTCTGGTGCTCAGTTCTACAGTAACACAATTTATTAAAATTAACTGAACTTTACCTTGCATTATAGATTTTACATGAGTCATGATTATCAGAAAGATTCATGTGACTTTCATAAATCTTTGCAAACATTTGCATTTAGATGAATTTTGAATCTGAGTGTTTTAATTTGAAGATGGAGTTGAAAAAATATTAAAGTTTGAACAGCTGGATAATGTCTTAAGTCCTTTGCCTCCTAAATGGTTTTGGTACTTTTAAAAATTCATTTCCATCTTTATTTTGGCTCGCATCTATCAATCTCACAAGTGAGTCACAATTCCCATATCTTCAAGGATATCCATCTGTGCCTAGATATATAGTTGAGGTTTCAGTCACAGGGCTAGCTACCCAAACAAATCCAGCCTAGTGATCACACTCAGGTACAGGAATCAAATTTTTTCTTCACAAGATAGTATTATAATCATTAAAATTTTACAGCAACATATCAGGCCTAATTTTAGATTCAACATTATTTTGTAATTTATTGTATACAAGTTTCAGTCATATAGTATAAATATTCCAAGTAACGCCTTGAACAGACAAAATAATCAAAAAAATTATAAGAAGAAAATCAATTTTCTTACATCTATCTTTATCTCAGAAAAAAATCTTACATATGCACACATTCATGCATGAAAAAACAGTTTGTTGAAAGGTTCTTCCATTTTATCCCACTACTTTGGCTTCTGAAGCCACCCACTCATATTTTCCCACATCTTTTCATTCTTCCTGTTTCATTTTCCCTGGTATTTGTCTGTTGCACATTTAGTAAAATATTTTAATTTTTATTTTTCTGTCCTGTCCTTTCTCTTGTACAGCTATTAAACACATTCTAAAAGATTCAAAGACTTGAAAAACTCAAGGCTGTTCTTCATTAGGCAAGATCGACATGATTATTGAAGTATTTAACATTAGAAATGTTTAAAATTACACAAATATTGAAAATGGCATAAAGAAGCAGACTCTTTCCAATATTATACAATATAAGTCAAGGGGCCACAGGCACGAGCTCAAATGCAAGAAATTTAGAACAGAGACAAGACAAACCTCTTTATATGAAGTGGTCCAGAACAAATAATTGAGTGAAAATTATGCCAATATTCAAGATTAGATTTAATAGGAGGAGGAAAGAAAATAAATAAAAGGAACAAGGAAGATACATATGATTAGGACTACTGGATGGAATAATGGTAGATGCTTACAAGGATTGATTAGGCCACCTTGTCAGTCTGAGTTGTAACATTTATACATTTGTTAATCACACTGGTTTTGGTTGTGATTAATCCACTATATTCCTTCAATGATCACTGTTTTAAAAAGCAGTAAAATAGGAAAAGCTGGCAAGGTTGCATTTATTCTGTGGAAATAACGAATCACCAACTGGAGTCAAAAATGGACTAGACCAGATAAAGGTAGCAGGGAACTTAAAGTGACCCAGCTGTCTATTTATGACCTTTCAGAAATTGTTCAATTGTGCCAATCCAAAAGTGACAAGGTTGAATTAAATCAATTTCCAAATTTGTCACAGAAGGATTGGATTCATGATCTCTGAATTGCAAGTTCAGGACCATACTATAACCACTATATTACTGTTACCCTTAATCTTTATTTCTACTACAGATACTTTTGCACTTCTGATTACTTTACCCTGCTCATTCAGATACACCTTCCTCTTTTTAAAAATGTACGTTAGAGTTCTTGGAAGTCACAATATTTCCTTAACAATTTCCCTCTAACGTTGTTGATAACATTCCCAAAAGCAGTAAAATAGCATAGATCCTTTTCTTCATTCAATCACAGGATGAGGGTGTCACTTACTAGGCTGGCATTTATTGCCCATCCCAGAGGCAGTTAAGAGCCAACCATACTGCTGTCGTCTGGAATCATATGTAGTCCAGACCAGGTAAGGATGGTAGTTTATCTCCCTAATGGATATTAATGAACCAGAAGGTTTTTTATGACAATTGACAATTGACTCTTAATTCCAGGTTTTTATTGAATTTGAATTCCATAATCTGCCGCGGCGAGATTCAAACCCAGGTGCCTAGCATATCACTCCGGATTAACAGTCCAGTGATAATATTATTAGGCCATCGCCTCCCCTTACTGCTTATTTTTACTGATGTAGCTAAGGCACACTGCATTTTTTTTGGCTATTACGCACACCAACGTATAAAACCATTATGTCTGCCAGGTGAAGAATTTATTTTTACCCACTGCAGTCGATTTATTCGACTGTATATTTCCCATCTTCACCATGTAAACTGAATAAATTAATCACTTTGGCCAGACTCGGCAACTAGCATTCCATCTGCATTTCCACCCCATTTCAAATTTTAATAACATTTTCCCATATTTCTTGAATTGTTTAAATCATTGGCCCATTTCTTGCTTTCAGTAGCGCACTATTAGCATTTGCCCCAGCTGCATGAAGTACCATCATCCTTCTCTGATTGTCGGCTGCTCTCACAGCTGCAGTATACGGCCAATGGTGAAGTCAATAGACAGCCATAGTGGCATGGCGCATTGTAAGTGAAGCTGCACCCCAATTTCACAGGCTCAAGGTATACCCTCTGAGCTATGTTTTCAGCACAGGGATAGCTGTTTCTTGAGTCTTCTAATTTGATATCGGCAAATTAGCTGTGTATAAGTTTTAACATTAACTTCCATTCTGCCCTACCACCTCCTCCATCAAGGGGTGTTTCTGATACTGGTGCTTCAATAAGTTGGAGGGAAGGAAACAAAGACTGGAAGGAGGAGGTGGGTGCTGAGTGGAGGTTTAGCTAAGTTCTGGCAAGATCATACCAATAAATAGAGAGTGTACTTGTAAGTTTGTTACCCTGTAATTGCACAATCTGATCATCTGGCAACTTTGCTTCACAAACACTTAATAAAAAATATTTGTGTTATTTTTCTCAGCCTGTCCCGTTACCTCTCTGAAGTCAATGGGAGATTTTGTTACGCTAAAGCTATTTAAATACATGCAAAATAAACATGGTCAACTAGTATCTATACTATGATTGACAGCAAAAATAGAATAAGTAATGGTTCCTGGCAGTTTAATATACTGTTTTGCAAGGATGGCTTAATATTTCTAAAATACGGCAAAGAGAAGCAGTCCAAAAATTGAATAAAATTATGTTCAACAAATTCTAAATTTAAAATTGCTTTGAAAGTGTATTATCTCACCTATACAGGAATGTTGCCAAACCACCCAACATTGTAATGGTGATAGCTAATGTCAGAAGTACTTGGTTGCTTACTCCTTCAATCAGTGAAGACTCATCAATTCTTGTTCCAAAAAATTGTTCTGGATTCTGTTCCATGCCAGAAGACAGATGCCTTGGGAAGAAAACAAAAGATTACATAGCTACCAGGGTAAGTGATTTTGATGATCACTATATTTATATTCAAAGCTGAGGGACAACCATAGTAACTTATTTAGGTGGAAAAGAGAGCTCTATTTTTAAAACCATAAAATTTATTGCATGATGAGTACATATTTGATCACCACAAAGAAAATGGTTCATTCTAAAATATTATTATAAACTTAACGTAACAAAATGGGAATAGGAATTGGATGAGGCCATACAGCTCCTTGAATCTATCCCATTTTTCATTTAGGTCATGACTTAACTTCTACATCAATTCTACTTTCCTGCCCTATTATTTATCCCCAGATTCTCCTAGAACCAAAAATCTACAATCTTTAAATATGCTAAAGGACAAAGAATTCAAACAATTTATGAAGCAATTTCTCTTCAACTCTACCTTCAGTAGCTGACTCCTTATCCTTAGTCTATAACTATTAGTGCGAGAGTGTTCAGCATTTTTTTTAAGATTCATTCACAGGACAAGGAAATCACTGGCTTGGCCCGCATTTAATGCCCATCCCTAATTGCCCAGAGGCATCCGATTGTGTGGCACCCTACTGAATGTCTCCTGAAAACCCAACTACAGTAGATCCATGGGTTTCCTCCTATCCACATGCTAGTTAAAAACTAAAAGCTTCAATATGTCTGTCAGTGACAAGATTTATTCTACGGAAACATGTTGACACATGCCTAATCATCATGATTTTCCAGTGTCCTATTACCAGGCCTAAATAACAAACAATAGACTTTTCCCAATGACCGATACCAGGCTAACTAGTTTTTGGCGTCCTATTTCTTCTTTCCTTCCTTTCATTTACAATTCACTTCCAATTTACTACCTTTCAATTCAAGGGACTGTTCTAGAATCCAGCTAATTCATTCACTATCTCTTAAAACCCTAGGCGCATATAGATTCCTGCTGTCGGAAGGATACTATTAAATTAGAGAAGGTGCAGGATTTGAGTTATCAGGAGAGGCTGGCTAGTCTGGGACCTTTTTCACTGGAGTGTAGGAGGCTGAGGGACGACCTTCGAGAGTTTTTGTAAAATCGAGGGGCATAGCAAAGGTGAATAGCAAAGGTCTTTTCCCTCGTGTTGGCAGTTCAAAACTAGAAGGCATAATTTTAAGGTGAGAAGAGAAAGATTTAAAACGGACCTGAGGGACAACTTTTTTAAACAGACGGTGGTTTGTATGTGGAATGAACTGCCAGAGAAAGTGATAGATGCAGGTACAGTTACAACATTCAAAAGACACTTGGACACGTATATGAATAGGAAAGGTTTAGAGGGAAAAGGGCCAAACACAGGAACACAGGACTAGTTTAGTTTGGGAAACTTGGTTAGCATAAACCAGTTGTACCGAAGGGTCTGTTTCCGTGCTGTATGACTCTATGCACTCTTTAGAGCTGTCACACATTGTTTCCTCCTCCCTTTTCAAATTGGGTCCAACCTGTGCTGCCTGCAATATAGTAGGATGTCAGTCTATTTCAGTCCTTCAGTAAAATGCATGCATACTTCTAACATATGTTACCATGCTAACATAAGTTACCATACTAGATCATAGTATTCCCTGTTCAACTTGTGATAGGAAACAAAATAAGAAGACACAGTTTAACTGTCAGCCCTAAAGATGGGTGCAATCAGGTCCAGAGAATTTACTGGCTTTTAGCACCATTAAACTTTCCAATACTTTTTTCTCTTTCCAGTAATATAAAGGACTTTAAAGTTCCTCAGTCTCATTACACCCTTGGTTTCTTATAATTTCCAATTTTTTTTCTGTCTTTTACATGCTGTCATTTCCATACTCATTGTAATTATATGTATCTCAGCGTCTAAGGGGCTGACATTTTCTTTTGCTTTATCTTTCTTCTCTTTCTATATGCATGTGGGAGCTCTTGTGAATTTATCCTCATATTCTACTACCTCTTTCTATCAAATTTTTGGTGATTTTAAACCCCACATCACCCTCATGTTCACTGCTCATTTTTGGCAACAGGGGGTTTCTTATTTGTAACACTATTCTTTCTAGTTAACCATGGTTGTACGCCTTTTTCAGGGGAATTATCCACCCCAAAAGGAAGATTTATTTGTTTAAATGTCTGCCATTGCTTGTATGCCATCACATCTTTTAGTCAAATTTTGCAATCTTTCTCAGCAAACCTGCCCAATAGTAACTGACCCTGTTTTAAATTAAAACATAATTTTCAGCTCAGCATTTCATATTAACATTCAAGTAAAAGTGCAGGTTTCAGGTATACTTACCTGAGTGATAAAATTGGCAACTAAATTAATATGAAAGTCGTTTGATGCTGAATTTGGAGTAATTAATTTTTTTTGCAAATTGTAGCTTTTGCAAATTTTTCTTTTACATTTGGTTCATTCTTTTTCAAACCAATTGACTATTTGATTGCCTAAATTAATTGTGTTTTTGTCTTTTGGTCCTATGTTGTTTGAAGGTATCATACCTTGGAACTAAACTTTCTTGTGCAGCACCTTTACAAAAGCAGGGTAGATTCACGTTAGACCTGACATTTTCAAGCTTTACAAAAGTAAAGAAACTGAGAAATGCACAGCAGATCTGGTGATGTCTGTTATATGAAGGTGTGTGTTGACACTTAATGTTGCAGTGGAATTGTGACATACTTTTATTTTGCCTACTTACATGAAAGGATCTGTGATGGCATTTTCTGTATCTGTATTTCAGATTTTTAAAATTCATATTCATGAAAGCTGTTATGTGAATGAAAGTTCTTTCCTTTAATGCTAACCTTGTCAGCAATGCTTACATTCCCTTGACCAATTAAAAAGAAATATACTGAGTATTAATGACATCAGTCCTTCCTTAAGCAGTCTTGTCATTTTCACGTAACAGTTAATTCCAAATATCTAACATCTATAAATTTGGCAAACCCCAATGCGTAAAAACAAAACTCCCTTGTAATTTTGTTTGTATCTCAGTGTCTTAAATACAGGAACTTCTTAAATTTCATATTATTTGGTCCTATTTGTATGCATCTTCATTCCACATATAGAACATCAAAATATTGTGCAAATCACTCGATACAATCAGTTCAGATCATTTTCAAAAATAAAGAACACACATTCATTAGCTGTATGGGGATTCTTACAAATTCAGAAATGTTAATTTGTTCTGCCATCTGTCCTATCAACCAGTAATACTTCTTTTTCAGACCCCCCACTTAGAATCATACAGCACGGAAATTGATCCTTCGGTCCAACCAGTCCATGCTGACCATAATCCCCAACTAAACTAGTCCCATCTGCCTGCACTTGGCCCATATTCCTCCAAACATTTCCTATTCATGCACTTATCTAAATTGAGAAATCTACAAGTAAATCTAGAAATAAACCTGAATCTTCAGAGAGGCTAAAAGATCCACATTCTTCTCAATCCACCATTTTAGAATTTTTACTTCTTTACGCTTTTTGCAATTATCCTCTGCCAAATGGACATTTTACTTTTTGCATTCGACATTTCAATAAAGCATATTATAATACCACCCTGTCTCAACTAGTTTGGCAAAATTCAACTGATAACTGTCTTCATGAGTGACTAATTTTTAACAACCTAGCTATCATTTTGACTGTGTAAACAAGCCAAATTACTAGTTCTAATGATAGCACTGTGGCAGTTTCTCCCATCCCATGACAGGAGTATCTAGTGTCAGCCAAAGCATTGGAGATGCAGCTGGAATTATGATTAGTAAGACTTACAGCCTAACAGTATATTAAAGGAAGCAATGCTTATTTGCTATGTAAATAGTGAAACAAACCAAATATAATTAAGAAGAATGTTTATGAATTGAACATAATTCATGAATGTAATATCAATTACAATCAGTTACAGAATGATTGACCTATTAAATTACCCAATTTTCATTCTGGCAAGAAATAGATATGTCACCCCATTCAACCTTCCTTGTCTGGCTTTGGATGGCCAACCCACAATGGGGTTGTTAGGAGAAGCTACCTCCATTCAGCCAAACCACATTAAAATCAATCATCTCCAAGATGCTGCTGTGGAAAAATAGCTAAAGACATGTAAACCATGACTGGAGATAGATGTCAGATAAAATGTAATGTGGGAAAATATAAGGGGATACATTGTGAAGGAAGAATAAGTGAAGGCATGCACACAAATGTGAAGCTTCAAGAAGTGTTGAGAAAGACAATTAGGGATTTAGATGCATGAATCATTAAAAAGGGGAGGATGAGTTGTAAAAGCTGATTAAAAGCAGCACAGAAAATCCTAGGTTTAACAAATAAGGATGTGCAAAAAGCAAGAAATAATGTGGAACTTACACAAAAAGTTCATGAAATGAGTTAATGTGTCCAGTTTCAGTGTTTTTAATTTGAAGTAAAAACAAGTCAGTGGCTCTTGTCATTAGAATAAAGAAGCTCAAGGGAAGATCTGGTAGAGGTATTCAGAATTGTGAGCTTTTGATAAAGCACATCAGAATACCACCGTCTCAACTATTTTTCCTGTACTCAAGGAGAGCACTCTGGGTTCGTTCCCTAAATTCTGTCCTCCAAAAGTTTGAAGTTACCCAAAATGTCTTAAATTGTAGTATGTCCCATTCACCTAACATATCAATGCTAACCAACTGACAATGACACTTGGTCAAACAACGTATTGATTTTATAATTCAAATCCTTGTTTTCAAATTTCTCCATGACCTTTCCCATATGAATTTCTGCATCTCCTACAGCCCTAAAATCTCAGGGATATTCTAATTTGGATCTTTCATGCGTTCTCAATTGCAATTGGTCCACCACCGACAATTATATTTTCATTTGCTTCGGCCCCAAGCTCTGGAAACCCTCCTGGTATCTCTCACCTCATTTCCTCCTTTGAGATATTCCTTAAAACATGGAGAAAAGAGTGGTGTCATTGTAAATGCAGGTGGATGAAGCTCATACTGATGCACTGTGGAAATGGGTTTATATC